ATGCCTCTGCTTTTTAATATGCTGTCTGGGTTGGTCATACCTTTTCATCTAAGGAGCAAGTGTCTTTTAATTTCATGGCTGCAGTCACCATCTGCAGTGATTTTGGAGCCCCAAAAAATAAAGTCTGACACTGTTTCCACTGTTTCCCCATCTATTTGCCATGAAGTGATGGGACCAGATGCCATGATCTTCATATTTTGAATGTTGAGTTTGAAGCCAGGTTTTCACTCTCCTCTTTTACCTCTATCAAGATGCTCTTTTGTTCCTCTTCAGTTTCTGCCATAAGGGCAGTGTCATCTGCATTTCTGAGGTTATTGATATTTCTCCCAGCAATCTTGATTCCAGCTTGTGCTTCATCCAGTTCTGCATTTATCATGATGTAATCTGCATATAAGTTAAATAAGCAGGGTGATAACATACAGCCTTGATGTACTTCTTTCCTAATTTGGAACCAGTCTCTTGTTCCATGTATGATTCTAACTGTTGCTTCTTGACCCGCATACATGTTTCTCATGAGGCAGGTAACGTGGTCTGGTATTTCTGTCTCTTTAAAAATTTTCCACAGTTTGTTGTGATCCACACAAAGACTTTAGGTAGTCAGTGAAACAGTAGTAGATGTTTTCTGGAATTCTTTTGCTTTTTCTATGATCCAATGGATGTTCTCAATTTGATCTCTGGTCCCTCTGCCTTTTCTAAATCCAACTTGAACATCTGGAAGTTATTGTTTCACATACTGTTGAAGTCTAGCTTAGAGAATTTTGATCATTACTCTGCTAGTATGTAATTGTGCAATCGTGTGGTAGTTTGAGCATTCTTTGGCATTGCCTTTCTTTGGGATTGGAATGAAAACTGAACTTTTCCAGTCCTGTGGCCACTGCTGAGTTTTCCAAATTTGCTGGCATTAAGTGCAGCATTTTCACAGCTGTGAAAAAAACTATCCCCAAGAAAAAGAAATGCAAAAAGGCAAAATGGTTGTCTGAGGAGGCCTTACAAATAGCTGAGAAACAAAGAGAAAGGCAAAGGAGAAAAGGAAATGTACAGACAATTGAGTGCAGAGTTCCAAAGAATAGCCAGGAGAGATAAGAAAGCCTACCTAAATGTTCAATGCAAAGAAATAGAGGAAAACAATAGAATGGGAATGATTAGATATCTCTCCAAGAAAATGGTAGAGATATCAAGGGAAAATTTCATGCAAAGATGGGTACAATAAATGACAGAAATTGTATGGACCTAACAGAAGCAGAAGATATTAAGAAGAGGTGACAAGAATACAGAGAAGAACTATGCAAAAATGATCTTCATGACCCAGATAACCACAATGGTGAGGTCACTCACCTAGAGCCAGACATCCTGGAGTGTGACTTGAAGTGGGCCTTAGGAAGCATCAGCATGAACAAAGTTAGTGGAGGTAATGGTATTCCAGGTGAGCTATTTCTCCTCCACCAATTCTTGGAAATTACCCTTTTTCTCTCTGTCTTGATGAATGTGACCATTCCAGATACTCCATTTAAGTGGAATCACAGAATATTTGTCCTTTCCTGTCAGGTTTATTTCACTTAGAAGAATGTGCACAATGTTCCTTCATGTTGTAGTATGTGTTAGAATTCCCTTCCTTTTCAGTGGTAAATAATACTCTATTATTTGTGCTTGCCACATTGGTTCATCTATTTCTCAGTCAATGTGCACTTGGATTGCTCTCATGCTTTAGTTATTGCAAATAATACCGCTGTGAACCTGGGTGTACAAATATTTCTTCAAAGTGTGCTTTCATTTCTTCCTCATGCTGGATCATGGGGTTCTAAGATTTTTATCTGCTGGTGATAGAGAAAATGTTCACATATTGAGGGGAGGTCAATTTGGCTTATACAAGGTTCAACCTGAACAGTGTATGAACCAAGGCTGCATTGTCCAACCCTCACAGCTCATCTAATTTAACCTTTGGGGTAAAGAACATCTGTTTTGAAGATAAGGATGAGTAACTCCCTTCTCATGGGCTTCCCAGGTGGCTCAGTTGTAAAGAATCTGCCTGCCAAGCAGAAAACAACCAGTTTAATCCCTGCATCATGAAGACTCCCTGGAAGAGAAAATGGCAACTCACTCCAGTATTCTTGCCTGGAGAATCCCATGGACAGGGGAGCCTGGCAGGCTGCAGTCCATGGGGTCGCAAAGGGTGAGACTTGACTTTGTAAACACACACATCACTAAGACATGCTTACTGATTGATTCTGAAAGAATTGAGAGAATCTTGGCTTTTTCAATTCTCAGAATAAAGAAATCTCTTAGGGGGTTTCCGACTAAGTGGACATGAGTTTGAACAAACTCCAGGAGATAGTGAAGGACAGGGAAGCCTGACATGCTGCAGTCCATTAGATCGCAAAGAGTCTGACATGACTTGGCAATTGAACAACAACAAGATTTTACAGAAATTGGGTACTTAGTTTTTCCCACATTGTCCAATCTGTCTGTGCATTAATAAAGTCTACCCAACTGGAACCATTGAACAAATGACATAAGGTATAAATGCTTTAAAATCTCAGCACTATGGAGAACAGTGTGGAGATTCCTTAAAAAAACTGGAAATAGAATTGCCATATGACCTAGCAATTCCACTCCTGGGCATACACACCGAGGAAACCAGAACTGAAAGAAACATGTGTTCTCCAATGTTCATTGCAGCACTGTTTATAATAGCCAGAACATGGAAGCAACCTAGATGCCCATCAGCAGATGAATGGATAAGAAAGCTGTGGTACACATTCACAATGGAATATTACTCAGCCATTAAAAAGAATACATTTGAATCAGTTCTAATGAGGTGGATGAAACTGGAGTCCATTATACAGAGTGAAGTAAGCCAGAAAGAAAGATACCAATAAAGTATACTAATGCATATATATGGAATTTTGAAAGATGGTAATGATAACCCTATATGCAAGACAGAAAAAGAGACACAGATGTATAGAACAGACTTTTGGACTGTGTAGGAGAAGGCAAGGGTGGGATGATCTGAGAGAATAGCATTGAAACATGTATATTATCAATTGTGAAACAGATCGCCAGTCCAGGTTTGATGCGTGAGACAAGTGCTCAGGGTTGGTGCACTAGGATGACCTAGAGGGCTGGGATGGGGAGGGAGTTGGCAGGGGGTTTCAGGATGGGGAACACATGTAAATTCCATGGCTGATTCATGTCAGTGTATGGCAAAAACCACTACAATATTGTAAAGTAATTAGCTTCCAACTAATATAAATAAATGAAAGTAAAATAAAATAAAATTTAAAATCTGCAATAGCCCAGTCTCCAGCATTAGGCCATCCTAACTATAAATTACCATTTTCACTCTTTGCTCTTGAAGATAGAAGATTCACCCAGAGCATATTAACTCAGAGACATGGTGACCCATATGGACCCACTGGCTGTTCTGGACCTGGAGTTAGATTTGTAACAGAAGGCAGGTTCAGCCACTTGCCGCTCAACAGACAGTAAATCAAGGGGCAAGCTTGCATAGACAAGAAAGATGCTTTATTCAGAAAAGCCAGTGATCTGGGGAGAATGTGGACTTGCATCCATAACAGTTCTGCTCAGCCATGACCGTCTTTAAAGGGAAACAATCTCTGTTAATCGTTAAGGCAGGAAGTCACTGTCTTTTTTCCATTGCTGAAAATGGGCAGCAATGGACTGCCTATTTTCCCTGGGACACTGTCTTGCTCGACTGACCCACCTGCAACCAGAGATTCTCTTGCCCGTGTGGTCCACCTGCATGTTTACTAAGGGGAAGCTAGGGGAAGAAAGTCAGTCATTCTTAAACCATTTTTTTTTTATTTATTTTGGCTACACCATGGGGCATGCAGGGTCTTTGTTCCCCAACCAGGAAGAGAACCCATGCCCCCTGCACTGGGAGCATGGAGTCTTAGCCACTGGACTGCCAGGGAAGTCCCTGGAGTATAACTCTTCACATAGTATGTCCTCACCTGAGTTGCCTTCCAGTGGGGCAGTGTCTGTGTTCTTGTTAGAAATAAGTACAAAAAGGTGCTTCTAATGTGCCCATTAATAATTTATTTCTTCCTCTACTTGCTGGTTACATTGTGGTACTTTGTTTGTGAAAATTCATCTTGCTGCACACTTATGAAGCATGCACTTAGAAGTATGTATAGTGTGATTTAAAAGTTTACTGAAAATTGCACAATGGTCCAGTCATTTTGTCCACTAGCAATAAACACAGGGCTTTAGATGCCTCCACTTTCACACTCCACCGAGGCTCACAGTGTCCCTTGAATCAGCAGGTCCTCCAGGGCATGGAGGGATTCCATGCAGCATCTACTTCCTGTGGGTAAGATGACTCAGCACCAGGGATGTCTCTGTCAAGAGTCTGGGAGATGGAGGCTGGTGGCTGATGGCTGTTGATGATTGTTCCCTGCCAGGCTGTGTCGGATCCCATATCCAAAGTATATGAGAAATCCTGTAGGGAGATGAGATGATGAGAAGGAAATGTAGGTGCTCTCCTCACTTACAAAGGCCCAGTAGACCTCCTGTGAAGTCTGATACAGTGTGGGGAGAAATAGTAGGAAGATGTTGGGTTCAGTCATTCAAGAAACCTCTTTATCACAGAAAGCAACTTACCAATGGCATTCCAGATGCCAAACAGGGCCCAGGTCCCAGAGGTTGTCTGCATCATCAGGTAAACATTCACGAAGAGGCTGACCAGTGGGAGGACAGGCAGAGCAGGAACCTGTGGGCAGAGGCAGTTCATCACTGAACACAGCCCAGATGTCTGAAAGGGAGACCCTATCCCACGTGGGTGGGAGACTCCTGTCTTCCTCAGGCTGTGCATTCAGTGCCTACTGAGATTGTGTATGCAAAGCCCTGAGTGTGAATCAGGGAATAGTTCATTGGTTTCAGTAACTCCCCTCATTCCCTGTCCAGGAAAGGATATTTTGCCATCAAAGGACAGAGACTTCATTCACTCAAGGTGGACACTTTGGACACATAAGGTCACCTACCCTGAACGGAAGAGGAGAGGGGTCCTGGGGCTGCCTCCAGATGATGACTGTGACCCCAGTGATGAGCAGCAGCAGCAGCACAGCCACTGCTGTGAGCACGGGGTCTCCAGAGAACACCTGGCTGGGCCACTGGGCCAGGATCAGGCTCAGAACGGTCAGCAGGAGAACTGCAAGGGTCAAGGAGCACCCAGAAGGCAAAGACGTTAGGACCTCGGGTCACGTCCTTCCCTGAAACCACCAACATCAGGAACAGCCATCATATCTTCCAGACTCCTCCACTGACAAAATACACTCACTCCATCCTGTCAACTTCAAAATACGACCAAAGAGAAGTCTCAGTGCTCACCAAGCAGGAAGGCACATCCATAGACAATCTGGGCAGATTTCTGGGTGGGGGTGGTGCTGATAGGCAACCACAGACTCGTTAGAGTCTTTGAGGTTCCTGCTTCAGGCTCAGATTCCAAAGGATTTTTCTTAACTAGAGGCTTCATCTGAATTTTGTCTTCTATTTTCTCATTCTTGCTTAAATTCCAGTCTGTCTGGTACCTGAATTAGAGATATTATAGGAATATTAACAGCAGTCCCTACTCATTCAAAAAAAGGCAGCCTAATGCACCACTTTCCTGCCTTAAGCAGAGCAGGTGTTTAGAAGGCTGAAGAGTGAGGAGCGGGGGAGGGGGGGTTGGTGAGGATAATATGGCAGAGGAATAGGATGGGGAGACCACTTTCTACCCCACAAATTCATCAAAAGTACATTTGTACGCTGAGAAAACTCCCAAAACAACTTCTGAACGCTGGCAGAGGACATCAGCCCACCCAGAAACGTAGCCCATTGTCTTCGAAAGGAGGTAGACAAAATATAAAAGATAAAAAGAGAGACAAAATAGTTAGGGATGGAGATCATCCAGGGAACGGAGTCTTAAAAGAGAAGTTTCCAAACACCAGGAAACCTCACCAGTGGTCTGTGGGAAGTTTTGGAATCTCAAAGGGCAACATAACTGGGAGGAAAAACAAATAAATAAAACCCACAGATTGCATGCCTAGTGGCAACTCCCAGCAGAGAAGCACCCCAGAGGCTTGCACCCGCCACCAGCAAGCGGGGGCTGAATGGGGAGGAGCGGGCTGTATTGCTTAGGGTAAGGATGAGCCTGAATGCCCTGAGGGCAGTCTGAGGGAGATAATGTGAGACAGCAACCTAAACTGTGGGATAACCAGAGAGAGGGAAAAAAAAGAGAGACAGAGAGAGAGAACTATCCTGAAGAAAGCCCTATCTGAAGGCCCTGCCACCCGCTCACAGAACAAAGGACTGAGCAATACCAGAGAAGAGCTAGCCGGCTGAGGACCAGTCCATACCCCGCTGGAGGCAGGGGACAGGCGGGCGCCAGCCAGAGCAGGAAAGGGGCAAACTCGGCCCCAGAGACGGCATCCCCTAACAAACTGCGAACAAGCTTCCAGTTTCTAACCAAGACTTCCTGAGATTCTGGGCGGTTGACATAGCTGGGAAAGTCACAGACAGAGATCAGCTCCCCAGAAGAGATACCCGGCACCCTGGAGACGGGCGTGCCCTGGAAACCGAGCGGCTGGGACCCGGGTGGTGATAAGATGCGCCACACCTAGGGAGCGTGTTCTCACTAAGAACCTGGTTGCCTGAGCTGCTCGGACCATGGAAGGGCACAAAACGCAGGCCCAACTGAGTCTGCGCCTTTGTGGAGTACCTGAGAATCTGAACCTGAGCAGCTTAGACCTGGGAAGTGCATGTAACCCAGGGTTCACTCCCTGCAGAGCAACCTGGAGCCTGAGCAGTGTAGACTGGGAAAGCACACTTGCCGTGAGCGGGGGCAAACCCAGTGTGGCTGGAACACTGCGAGTGCTTCCCACACATGCCAGTGACATTTGTTCGTGGTGTTCCTCCCTCCCCACAGCATGACTGAACAAGTGAGCCTAAATAAGTGACCACCTTCGCCCCCTGTGTCAGGGTGGAGATGAGAAACTGAAGAGACCAGCAAACAGAAGAAGCCAAGTAAACAGAGGGAACCACTTTGGAAGTGACAGGTGCAACAGATTAAAATCCCTGTAATTAACACCAACTACATTGGAAGGGGCCTATAAATCCTCAGAAATATAAGCTGGAACAAGGAACTATCTGAAACTGAACTGACCCACACTGCCCACAATAGCTCCAGAGAAATTCCTAGATATATTTTTACTATTATCATTTTTTTTTAGAAACTTTTTTCTTTTTTTAAGTCCTCTCTTACTCTTTTAATTTTCATTTTTATAACTTACTAATACCTTGCAAAAAAAAAAAAAGACCCTATTTTTAAAGCAAACTTCATATATATTTCTTATATTTTTGTGATTTTGTGTTTTTGTTTTTTTTAATATTGTAGTTTTGAGAGTCTAACCTCTACTCTAGATTTTTAATCTTTGCTTTATGGTATTAGTTATCAATTTTGTACATTTAAGAATCCAATCTTCAGTACCCATTTTTACTTAGGAGTGTGATTACTGGCTTGATTACTCTCTCCCCCTTTTGACTCTCATTTTTCTCCCCCAGGTCACCTCTATCTCCTCCCTCCCCCTTCTCTTCTCAGCCCAACGCTGTGAATCTCTGTGTGTGTTCTGGGCTATGGAGAACACTTAGGGAACAGAATACGGCCTAGATCTATCTCTCTCCTTTTGATTGCCCCTTTCTTCTCCTGCTCACCTCTCTCTCCTTCCTCCCTCTTCTATTCTCTATGTAACTCTGTGAACACCTCTGAGGGATCCAGACTGTGGAGAGCACATAAGGAATTGATTACTGGCTAGATTGCTCTCTCCCCTTTTGATTACCCCTCTTCTCCTGGTCACATCTATCTCCCTCCTCCCTCTTCTCTTCTCTATGTAACTCTGTGAACCTCTCTGAGTGTTCCTCACTGTGGAGAATCTTTTCACCATTACCCTAGAAGTTTTATCTTTGGTGCTGTATGGATGGAGAAGTCTTGAGGCTACTGTAGAAATAAGACTGAGAACCAGAAGCATGAGGCTTAAGCCCAGAACCTGAGAACACCACAGAACTCCTGACTCCAGGGAACATTAATCGATAAGAGCTCATCCAAAAGCCTTCATACCTCCACTGAAACCAAGCACCACCTAAGAGCCAACAAGTTCCAGAGCAAGACATACCACGAACATTCTCCAGCAACGCAGGAATATAGCCCTGAGCTTCAATATACAGGCTGCCCAAAGGCACATCAAACCCATAGACATCTCAAAACTCACTACTGGACACTTCATTGCACTCCAAAAAGAAGAAATCCAGCTCCAGCCATCAGAACACTGACACATGCTTCCCTAATCAAGCTTCCCTAACCAGAAAACCTCGACAAGCCACTTGTCCAACCCCACCCACAGGGAGGAATCTCCACAATAAGGAGGAACCACAAGCTGCCAGAATACAGAAAGGCCAGCCCAAGCAAAACCAATCTAAATAAGATGAAAAGGCAGAGAAACACCCAGCAAGTAAAGGAACGTGATAAATGCCCACCAAACCAAACAAAAGAGGAGGAGATAGGGAGTCTACCTAAAAAAGAATTCAGAATAATGATAGTAAAAATGATCCAAAATCTCTAAGGCAAAATGGAGTTACAGGTAAATACCCTGGAGACAAGGATCAAGAAGGTGTAAGAAATGTTTAACAAGGACCTAGATGAAATAAAAAAGAGTCAGTCAATAATGAATAATGCAATAACTGAGATCAAAAACACTCTGGAGGGAACCATGAGTAGAATAACGGAGGCAGAAGATAGGATAAGTGAGGTAGAAGATAGAATGGTAGAAATAAATGAAGCAGAGAGGAAAAAGAAAAAAGAATTAAAAGAAATGTGGACAACCTCAGGGACCTCTGAGACAATGTGAAACACCCCAACATTAGAATCATAGGAGTCCCAGAAGAAGAAGACAAAAAGAAAGGCCAAGAGAAAATACTTGAGGAGATAATAGCTGAAAATTTCCCTAAAATGGGGAAGGAAATAGTCACCCAAGTCCAAGAAACCCAGAGAGTCCCAAACAGGATAAACCCAAGGCAAAACACTGCAAGACCCATATTAATCAAATTAACAAAGATAAAGCAAAGAATAAATATTAAAAGCAGCAAGGGAAAAACAACAATTAACACACAAGGGGATTCCCATAAGGATAACAGCTGATCTTTCAATAGAAACTCCTCAGGCCAGAAGCGAATGGCAGGACATACTTAAAGTGATGAAAGAGAAAAACCTACAACCCAGATGACTGTACCCAGCAGGATCTCATTCAGATATGAAGGAGAAATAAAAAGCTTTACAGACAAGAAAAAGCTGAGAGAATTCAGTACCACCAAACCAGCTCTTCAACAAATGCTAAAGGATCTTCTCTAGACAGGAAACACAGAAAGGGTATATAAACTTAAACCTGAAACAACAAAGTAAATGGCAATGGGATCATCCTTATATATAATTACCTTAAATGTAAATGGGTTGGACACCCCCCCAAAAGACAAAGACTGGCTGAATGGATACAAAAACAAGACCCCTATATATGCTGTCTAAAAGAGACCCACCTCAAAACAAGGGACACATACAGTCTGAAAGTGAAGGGCTGGAAAAAGATATTTCACACAAATGAAGACCAAAAAAAAAGCAGGAGTAGCAATACTCATATCAAATAATATAGACTTTAAAATAAAGGCTGTGAAAAGACACAAAGAAGGACACTGCATAATGATCAAAGGATCAATGCAAGAAGGAGATATAACAATTATAAATATATATCCACCCAACATAGGAGCACTGCAATATGTTAAGGCAAATGCTAACAACTATGAAAGGGAAAATTAACAATAACACAATAATAGTGGGAGACTTCAATACCCCACTCACACCTATGGATAGATCAACTAAACAGAAAATAACAAAGAAATACCAACTTTAAAAGACCCAATGGACCAGTTAGACCTAATTGATATCTATAGGACATTTCACCCCAAAACAATGAATTTCACCGTGTTCTCAAGTGCACAACAAACCTTCTCCAGGATAGATTATATCCTGGGCCATAAATCTAGCCTTGGTAAACTCAAAAAAATTGAAATCATTCCAAGCATCTTTTCTGACCATAATGCAGTAAGATTAGATGTCAATTATGGGGGGGGGGGGGGTACTATTAAAAATTCCAACACAAGGAGGCTAAACAACATGCTTCTGAATAATGAACAAATCACAGAAGATATCAAAAAGGAATCAAAATATGACTATAAATGAATGAAAATGAAAACACCACAACCCAAAACCTATGGGACACTGTAAAAGCAGTGCTAAGGGGAAGGTTCATAGCAATACAGGATTACCTCAAGAAACAAGAAAAAAGTCAAATAAATAACCTAACTCTACATATAAAGCAACTAGAAAAGGAAGAAATGAAGAACCCCAAGGTAAGTAGAAGGAAAGAAATCTCAAAAATTAGGGCAGAAATAAATGCAAAAGAAACAAAGCAACCATAGCAAAAATCAACAAAGCTGAAAGTTGGTTCTCTGAGAAGATAAATAACATTGACAAAACATTAGCCAGACTCATCAAGAAAGAAAGGGAGAGGAATCAAATCAACAAAATTAGAAATGAAAATGGAGAAATCACAGCAGACAACACAGAAATACAAAGGATCATAAGAGACTACTATTAGCAGCTCTATGCCAATAAAATGGACAACTTGGAAGAAATGGACAAATTCTTAGAAAAGTACAATTTTCCAAAACTAAACCAGAAGAAATAGAAAATCTTAACAGACCCATCACAAGCATGGAAATTGAAACTGTAATCAGAAATATTCCAGCAAACAAAAGCCCAGGAACAGACAGCTTCACAGCTGAATTCTACCAAAAATTTAGAGAAGAGCTAACACATATCCCACTCAAACTCTTCCAGAAAATTGCAGAGAGAGGTAAACTTCCAAACTCATTCTATGAGTCCACCATCACCCTAATACCAAAACCAGACAAAGATGCCACAAAAAAAGAAAATTATAGGCCAATATCACTGATGAACATAGATGCAAAAATCCTTAACAACATTCAGCAAACAGAATCCAGCAACATATTAAAAAGATCATACCTCATGACCAAGTGGGCTTTATCCCAGCAATGCAAGGATTCTTTAATATCCACAAATCAATGTATACACCACATTAACAAATTGAAAGATAAAAACCATATGATTATCTCAATAGATGTAGAGAAAGCCTTTGAAAAATTCAACATCCATTTATGATAAAAACTCTCCAGAAAACAGGAATAGAAGGAACATACCTCAACATAATAAAAGCTATATATGACAAACTGACTGCAAACACTATCCGCAATAGTAAAAAATTGAAAGCATTTCCCCTAAAGTCAGGAAAAAGGCAAGGGTGCCCACTCTCACCACTACTGTTCAACATAGATTTGCAAGTTTTGGCCATGGCAATCAGAGCAGAAAAAGAAATAAAAGGACTCCAGACTGGAAAAGAAGAAGTAAAAGACTCACTGTTTGCAGATGACATGATTATCTAAATAGAAAAACCTAAAGACTCTACCAGAAAATTACTAGAGCTAAACAATGAATATAGTAAAGTTTCAGGATATAAAATTAACACAAAGAAATCCCTTGCATTCCTATACACTAACAATGAGAAAACAGAAAGAGAAATCAAGGAAACAATTTCATTCACCATTGCAACGAAAAGAATAAAATACTTAGGAATATATATACGTAAAGAAACAAAAGAATTCTGTATAGAAAACTATAAATTACTGATAAAAGAAATCAAAGAGGGCACAAATATATGGAGAAATACACCATGTTCATGGATTAGAAGAGTCAATATAGTGAAAATGAGTATACTACCCAAAATGCTCTATAGATGCAATGCAATCCCTATCAAGTTACCAACGGTATTTTTCACAGAACTAGAACAAAGGATTTCACAATTTGTATGGAAATACAAAAAACCTCGAATAACCAAAGCAATCTTGAGAAAGAATAATGAACTTGGAGGAAGTAACCTACAAGACAGTATGGTACTGGCACAAAGACAGACATATAGATCAATGGAACAAAATAGAAAGCCTAGATATAAATCCATACACCTATGGACACCTTGTCTTTGACAAAGGAAGCAAGAATATACAATGGAGAAAAGAAAATCTCTTTAACAAGTGGTGCTGGGAAAACTGGTCAGCCACTTGTAAAAGAATGAAACTAGAACACTTTCCAACACCATACAGAAAAATAAACACAAAATGGATTAAAGATCTAAATGTAAGACCAGAAACTATGAAAATCCTAGAGGAAAACTTGGCAAAACACCCTCTGACATAAACCACAGCAGGATCCTCTTTGACCTTCCTCCCAGAGTAATGGAAATAAAAGCAAAGATGAATAAATGGGACCTAATTAAATGTAAAAGCTTTTGCACAATGAAGAAAACTGTAAGCAAGGTGAAGAGACAGCCTTCAGAATGGGAAAAAAGAATAGCAAATGAAGCAACTGACAAAGAATTAATCTAAAAATATACAGGCAACTCCTATGGCTCAATTCCAGAAAAATAAAAGACCCAATCAAAAAATGGGCCAAGGAACTAAACAGACATTTCTCCAAAGAAGACATACAGATGGCTAACAAACACATGAAAAGATGCTCAACATCACTCATTATCAGAGAAATGCAAATCAAAACCACATTGGGGTACCATCTCACACCAGTCAGAATGACTGCTATCCAAAAATCAAGCAATAAATGCTAGAGAGGGTGCAGAAAAAAGGGAACCCTCTTACACTGTTTGTGGGAATGCAAACTAGTACAGCCACTATAGAGAAGAGTATGGCGATTCCTTAAAAAACTGTAAATAGGACTGTCATATGATCCAGCAATCCCATTGCTGAGCATACACACCAAGGAAACCAGAATTGAAAGAGACATGTGTACCCCAATGTTCATTACAGCACTGTTTATAATAGCCAGGACATGGAAGCAACCTAGATGTCCATCAGCATATGAATGGATAAGAAAGCTACGGTACATAGACACAATGGAATATTACTCAGCCATTACATAGAATACATTTGAATCAGTTCTAATGAGGTGGATGAATCTGGAGCCTATTATACAGAGTGAAGTAAGCCAGAAAGAAAAACACCAATATAGTATACTAATGCATATATATAGAATTTAGGAAGATGTTAAAGATAACCCTTCATGCGAGAAAGCAAAAGAGACACAGATGTATAGAACAGTCTTTTGGACTCTGTGGGAGATGGCAAGGCTGGGATGATGTGAGAGAATAGCACTGAAACATGTATATTATCATATATGAAACAAATCACCAGTCCAGGTTCAATACATGAGACAGATTGCTCAGGGCTGGTGCACTGGGATGACCCAGAGGGATGGGATGGGAGGGAGGCGGAAGGGGGTTCAGGATAGGGAACACATGTACACCCGCGGTGGATTCATGTCAATGTATGGCAAAAACCACTATGATATTTTAAAATAATTAGCGTTCAATTAAAATAAATAATTAAAAAAAAAAAAAGCTGAAGAGGATGAACTGCCATTCAGTCTTTAGGAACGTAAGAGCCCCAGTCAGGGTGCAGTGAAGTCTCACCTGAGGACAAGGACAAAAAACGCCACCAAGGAGTAAACCAGCAGGTGTCCAATCGACATGAGGTCCACCAGATTACTGAACTCAAAGAGCAACGCCATGATCCCTAGAATGAGGGCGTGAATGAGGTGGGGGCCGGCAGTGAGAAACCACTGGGTGTATCCAGATAAGGATAGTATCCAAGGAGAAGTGGGTTCTGAGGCTCACCTGCGAGAATTCCAGAGGACACGGTGGCCATGATGGGGGTCTTCGTGCGGGCATGGGTCCGGGCAAGTCCTTGGAAAAGGAGCCCATCCTCGGCCATTTCCTGGATCACTTGAGGCACGGGGAACAGGGAGCTCTGCAGTCTGGAAGGCACGGTGGGAACACGGGTGGGGATGTTGAGAAGCAAGAGACCAGGGATCTGGCTCCCTGGTCTAGCTGGGGTAAGGGGTCTTTCCCTCTCGTCTCTCAATCCCAAGGGCTGAAACACCTGAGCATCTGACAGTTCGCGGAGAGAAACCCTTGACACTGACCTGTATAAAAGAAAACAGAGGATGCCAACAGCCACAATATATCTGGCAGGGCCCCACCCAACATGGAGGAAAGCCTGTGGAAAGGGGCTGTCAGGCTGAATCTGGTAGTAGGGCACCATGAGGGTGAGAGTCGCCGAGACACCAAAATACGCCAAAAAGCAGAAGAAGACCGTGGTCACGATGCTGATGGGGATGGAGCGGTGAGGATCTGGGGCTTCTTCCCCTGCAGGGTGAGTGAATATCTCGGGTTAGGAAAACACTGATGGTGCAGCACAAAATCCACTCTCCTCTTGAACTTCAGAGCGTTAAAAAATCTTCTATCAACCCCTATGCCCAAGGGCAGCCCAATCCCCTGATGGGACACACAGTGGCCCTGTTACCTTTAGTGACAATGTCATCAAAACCCACAAACGAGTAGAAACATAGAGCTGCTCCATGGAGAATTCCAACATAGTCGAAGGGCACAAACCCTCCAGAACCCAGAGGGCCCAAGCTACAGTGAGAGAAGAAGCAAGAAAGACCATGAGGGAGGTGTGTTCAGTCATCCCTACCGGACTCCACAATTAATACCTCCACGACCTTGTTATCCGGATCCACCAGCCCAGATCTCTTTAGACCCCGCCAGATTCCCAGCTCTGCACCAGCCCCCACAAGCATGACAAGGACCAGGAGCACCCTCCTGACCTAGAGATGTCACCAGATTCAGACGTGTTCAATGTGTAGTCCTGTTCTGTGAGCTCCCAGTTGTGCTTGTCTCCCTTAATGAAGCCAGAGATTATGATGAAGCTGAGGACCAAAAGGTTGATGCCTGTGGATATTTTTCCAACCAGGACTGACTCACGAGCTCCCAGAACCAGTACTCCTGTGGGAAAGATGGAATGTGAGACATTCCGAGATAACCAAATCAAATACACAGACACAGAAGGCAGACTAGTGGTTGCCAGGGGTTAGAGGATTGTGAGATTAAGATGGATGGACTGTCACTGCTCAGTGGGTACTGGATTTCCTTTTGCTGTGATGAAAATGTCTGAAGCTAGAAGAAGGTGATCATTATACATCTTGAATGCCCAAAGTACCACTAAATTGCATACTTTAACATGGTTAGTTTCTTACTGTGGCCATTATCATATAATATGGGCTCAGTCACTCTGACCCTTTGAGACCCCATGGACTGTAGCCTGCCAGGCTCCTCTGTCCATGGAATTTTCCAGGCATGATTACTGGAGTGGGTTGCCATTTCCTACTCCAGTAACATAATATACACATCTCTCAAATCATCATGATGTTCACCTTGAGTTGATATAATGTTGTATGTCAATTATATATGAATAAGGCTAATGAAAAATAATAAAATGGCTAATTTTACGCTATGCTAATTTCCTCCCCATTGAAAAAGTCTCAATACAGAGGAAGAAACTTGTCACTCTAAGTAAATGATTCTCAGCTAGGGGTGATTTGTGTCCCCAGGGGACATTTGGCAATGTCTGGAGACATCCTGATTGTCACAGTTTGGGGAATATGAGTCATGGGTGTTTAGTGAATGAAGTCCAAAGATGCTACACACCTGAGAATGATTAATTAAGAAAATCCTGCAGTGCACATGTTGGCCCCCAACACCAAAGGCTGTTTCAGCCAGAAGGTCAGTAATGCCAAGATTGGGAAACAACGGTCTATGTCTCGACTTCCTGTCTTTTGTATCACAGACCCTAATTTCTAATTTCCCACAGTTCTGCCACCTCATGCCTTTCCCATCCTAGTTCCCCTGCCACCCCACATGCCACTCTTCCCATCTTAACTTGGATCCCTGTCTCACCTGTGAGCAACAGCACCAGGGACAAAGCAACAAAGTCTGGATACTTGGCCAGGTAGTAGGGCATATATGGAGAGAAAGTTCCCTCTAAGGCCTGAAAGATGTGGTTCCCAATCAGGCTGTCGAAGGCGATGCTCCAGGCCCTGGCCACACTGCCTGTGACTGAAGCAGAATAAGAAGAAACATTTGTTGACAATTATAAATTGTACCCCCCATACACCAAGACCCCCTTCGTGGATCACAGCCTTGTCATGGTGACGGGCTAGCATATTTCAATAAAACTGTGAGTGTTGCCATGCAGGACCTCTCAAGACGGATGGGTCACAGAGAAGAGTTCTGACAAAACGTGGGCCACTGGAGAAGGAAATGGCAACCCACTCTAGTATTCTTGCTAGGAGGGCCCCATGGACAGCATGAAAAGGCAAAAAGTTATGATTCTGGAAGAGGAGGTCCCCGGGTCAGAAGGTGTCCAACATGGGAAAGATTGAAGGTAAAAGTAGAAGGGGGCCTCAGAGGATGAGATGGTTGGACAGCATCACCAACTCAGTGAACATGAGTTTGAGCAAACTCCAGAAGATAGTGGAGGAAGAGGCACCTGGTGTGCTGCAGTCCATGGGGTTACAAAGACTTGGGCACAATTTAGTGACCAAACAACAACAAAAACAAATACACAAAGTCATGTATATTGGGGAAAAAATACAACATACCAAATCTCAAAGAGTTTCTTTTCATGGGGTGGGGAAAATAGACCCAGATAATTCTAAAATAGGTCAACTATTTAATGTTTGTGGGAGATCAAAGTTATGCAAGAAACGAGGGAAGTGGGAGCAAGTTGTCTGGGCGATGAGGATTAAAATTTTAGTTCAAATGCTAATGCAAACTCTGAAGGCAACCGCTAAGCAGAGACTTCAGTATAGTGAGGGGATGAGCCTGTGGGCCATGCCTCCCTCTCACCCACTCCCTATGATTCCCTTTCCATCTGGGTTCTTGGTCCATCTCTTAAGGAAAGCAGGGAAGAGCCAAAAAGAATGAAGTTGTGGACTTTTCCTTACGTTATTCCCCTCCTCCCCTCACAGAGTGGATGACCAAGTTCTCATGCATGATTGAAGGCCCAAATGCCTGCTCCTGGTCTCCCGAGCTTCAGCCCCACACCTACCCCCCACCCATCCCCTCACCAACGACATAGGACAGTATGAGGTTCCAGGCAGTGATGAATGCCCACAATTCTCCCATGGTGATGTAGCTGTAGAGATATGCAGAACCAGTCCATGAGACCTGTGTCCCAAATTCGGCATAGCAGAGCCCAGACAATACAGAAGACAGGGCTGCCACCAAGAAGGAGATGATGATCGCTGGTCCAGCAATGAACATGGCCACTTCTCCCACCAGAATGTATACGCCAGCCCCCAGGGTGCTGGCCACACCGAAGGCCACCAGCTTCAAGATGTTCAGAGGAGCCGTGGGACTCTTAGAATCCTCAGTGGGCTCCAGGGGCCGCCTGCGGACCAGCTTCTGACCGAACTGGTAGAGATTCTGACACCGCATCCTAGATGGAGTTGAGGAGCTGTGATCTGCTGAGGAAACAAGACATGAAGCCGTCAGCAAGGCCCACCTGCCCTTGGCCCTGGGAGTCCAATTCCACGGAGCAGTGCAGCGATGAGGGGCAGGTGGTAAAAGGACACTTGGGACAAGATCTCCATCTCTGAGCTTTGGTTTCTTCGAACACAAAGAAATCTTTTAAGATGTTTCGAAGTTACTGGAAAGGCTTTTGAAAGAGAAGTGAGGTGGAGAGGATTAGTTCTCCCCCAAAATGCACCACTTGGAACATGGGTTGTTTGGTGTGTGTCTGTGCTCAGTCCTGTCTGACTCCTTGAGACTCCATGGACTGCAGCCCACCAGGCTCCCCTGTCATGGGATTCTGCAGGCAAGAATGCTGGAGTGTGTTGCCGTGATCTCTTCCAGGGGATCTCCCTGATCCAGGGATCAAACCCGAGTCTCCTGTGTGTCCTGCAGAGGCAGGTGGACTCCACCACTGAGACCCCTGGGAAACCCCTGGATTGTCTTGAGCTGAAGGCAATTAAGACCCACAGACTCAGGAAACACTTTCTGTCTCTCCCTTAACTGCTCAAATGTACATGTACAAGCACAAACATACATCCACTTATTGTGCCTCAATATACAACCTTTAAAAAAAAATGTACACCTGTGGCAACCATATGTTGTCATATGATGGATAGCAATTTTTCTTTTTACAAATACAGTGTCTTAATATTACAGAATCTGAAGCAGTAATGGAACCTGGTGCCTGGCAGGCTACAGTCAAGGGGATTACAAAGAGTCAGACAAGGCTGAGCGACTAAACAACAACAACAGGTGTGAGGGAAGCTTGGGTTTCCCCTGAGAGCTGGGATTAGTTAGAAGGGGGCCATTTAGAATGCCAGGAGAGTTAACCTCAGTCCATTTTCCCATTTTGTGGCAACAAAGATCTAACTGTAAGATATCATTATAATCTAGAGACCAAGTTTTAGGCCACTTTCCAACTCCCAACTTAAATAAAGGCCTGACATTGTTAAAGCAAACCTGAGTTTTCCTTTTCTTGGCCCATCTGGCTTTTGAAGGGCATCCTCCCTGGTTGAGCTTCCCTGGGGAATCAGAAAGTAAAGAATCCGCCTGCAGTGCAGGAGACCAGTATTCGATCCCTGGGTGGAGAAGATGCCCCGGAGAGGGGAATGGAAACGCACTCCAGTATCCTTGCCTGGAGAATCCCATGGACAGAGGAGCCTGGCAGGCTACAATCCACAGGGTCAAAAAGAGTCGCCCATGACTTAGCGACTAAACAACACCTACAATAAAGTGGGAGCAATTTGCTGGCGGTGCTTGTAGGTGCTGAGCCTTGACTCCAGGTGCAGTTCTCCCAAAGTTGATGAGGAAGCTCTGCTTGGGTGAGGGACAGGCCAGGGGTTGTTGTTTAGGCAGAATGAGAGAAATAGGGAGAGGGGCAGGAAAAAGATAACTAGGGCTCCTTCACTGAGCGGACCTAGATTAAGCCCTGCAGGTCTTGGAAAGAGAACAAAGCAGAGAGTGAGAGAAAGTTCTCCTGGGAGAGAGAGAGAGTCAGAAGCCTCCAGCCAGTAGTTTGGGAGACCTGCAGTTTACCTTGAAATCCTGGGTTTCAGCCCCAAATGATCTCGGAGGGAGAGAGAGATAGCCGTGAGCACTGGCTTAGTTCTCTGCCCAAGAATTGGGCTCGAGTAGCCTGGATGAAAACCAAGACTCCTAGTCGCCAGTCCATCGGGGGCTAGAAACTAGAAACACGGTTCTCCTGGCTCTAGTCCTCAGTAAAAAGGAAGAAAAAAAAAAGCATTTCCCCAGGAGGCAAAAACTAAAAATATGGTAAAAGTGTATTACTGGCAACACAGCACACTTGTGCGGAACACACAGAAGAAACAGTTTGTTTAGTTAAGACAGAAGCCAGGCAGAGTTCACACCCAAGAGAAAGGCTGTGGGCGTCCCCCCAAAGGAGGAGGAGCCCCGTAAAGACAATGTTAAGTTGTGTAGGTAGGGCAGTTCTTCCCGTCTTGTTTACCTGGTTTCTTTTCCCACAACTGCCCTGCCCTAGGACCCTCCCTGACAGGCCATTTCCTAGATGGATTCCAGCACACAGGCCTGTGGGGGCCCGGACATCACCGATTATGAGAGGGCACCCCCTCCTTTTTGTCCCCCAAGGAGACTCTCTGCACATGTGTGGTGCCCTAAAGATAGAAAATATGTGACCTCTTGATCTTTTACACACACAGGGTTTAACCGCTTTCTGTCTTTGCCATGATTACTATAGTAACATGCCCACAGCAGGCAAAGTCCAGCCATTTACTCTGTTCCTGTCATTTCCATCTCCAAGTGCAAACAGAAGTCTAGTTGTAAATATCTAGCCTAGACCTCACCTGCCTCATTCCTCAGGAAATGTAAACCGAAGGCTAGTTGTAGATGTAGTTCTTTCTCCTGTTCATCTGCCCTTCGTGTGTCTTCTTTGCAGGCTCCAGACAGAGAACCTAGGAGGATAGAGGACAAGATTATTTGCGCCAAGAGCAATAAAGTTTAAATGCTTCAACAATATGATGAGGGCTTCCCTGGAGGCTCAGACGTGAAGAAACTGCCTGCAGTGCAGGAGTTCCCAGTCCAATCTCTGGGTCAGGAAGATCTCCTGGAGAAGAGAATGGCAACCCACGCCAGTATTCTCACCTGGGTAACCCCATAAACAGAGGAGCCTGGCAGGCTATAGTTCATGGGGTCACAAAAGAGCCAGACACAACTGAGTGACTAAGCAACAACAAATATATATATACACATACATATATATTCATACATGCATACAGTGGGATACAACTCAGCCATGAAAAATGAAACAATGCCCCTTGCAGCAGTATGGACCTAGAGCTTATCATAGTTAGTGAAGTAAGTCAGAAAGAGAAAGACAAATACCATATGACATCACTTACATGTGGAATCTAAAATACAAGCCACATGACCCTATCTATGAAACACAGAGAGACTCACAGATATAGAGAGCAGACATATGATGCCCATGGGATGGGGAGAAGGAAGGATAGGGAGTTTGGGATTAGCACATGCAAACTATTCTATATAGATAAACAACAAGATCCTACTGTATAGCACAGGGAACTATAACCAATATCTTGTGATAAATTGTCATTGAAAAGAATATATCAATATATATGCATATCTGAGTCACTTTGCAGTACAGGAGAAATTATCTCAACACTGTAAATCAACTATACTTCAATAAAATGAAAAGAAAATAGTTCAAATTGAAGCAGCCAATAAGTGAGAGTCTAAATTTAAAAAAAAAGACATCTAAAATAGGCATTAGAGAGCTCCGGAGAACGAACACAAGCCGCAGGCACCGGACCTGCGCGCGCTGGGGCCGCGGAGGGAAAAGGCACGCTGTACCCGGGAAGAGTGCGCCCAAGCCCCTGGCTGCCAGAGCCGCTCAGGCCAGTGAAGGCACAAAACGCAGGCGTAACCGAATCTGCGCTTTTGTGGAGTACCCGAAAACTGGAACCGCACTGAACGCAGGGCCCGCTCCATATAGAGCAGCCGGGAGCCTGAGCAGTGTAGACGGGGAAAGCACAGACACCCGTGAGCGGGGCAAACCCAGTGTGGCTGGAACACGGTGAGTGCTATCCACACAGAGCGGTATCTGTCTGCAGCGCCCCGCCCTCCCCGTAGCAGGACTGAACTGAACTTGAGAACCTAAATAAGAGATCACTTCCGCCCGCCTGTGTCAGGGCGGAAATTAGACACCAAAGAGACGGCAAACAGAAGCCAAAAAAAACAAAGGGAACCGATTCAGAAAGGACCGGTGCAACAGATTAAAATCCCTGAAGGTAACACCGACTACACCGGAAGGGGCCTATAGATATCGAGAAGTGTAAGCTGGAAAGAGGAGCTATCTGAAATTGAACTGAACCTACTCTGACCGCAACAGCTCCAGAGAAATTCCTAGATATATATGTATATTTTGTTTTTAATTAAAAAAAAAATTTTTTTTCTTTCCTTTTTTAAAAATTTTTTCTCTTTTACTTTCTTTTAAAATTCCCTATTACTCCCCCATTACTCCTCAACTGTCATTTTCATATATTTTTTACGATTTTTTTAATTAGGGAAAAACAAAAATTTTTTTCTTTTTCTTGTTTTTCTCTCCTATTTACTTTTAAAGTCCTCTAATACTCCTCTATTATTCATTAATTTTCATTTTCATTTCACTATAACCTTGCAAAAAAAAAAAGAGAGAGAAGCCCTATTTTTTTATTTTTATTTTTTATTAGTTGGAGGCTAATTACTTTACAATATTGTAGTGGTTTTTGTCATATATTGACATGAATCAGCCATGGATATACATGTATTCCCAATCCCGATCCCCCCTCCCACCTCCCTCTCCACCCGATCCCTCTGGGCCTTCCCAGTGCACCAGGTCTGAGCACTTGTCTCATGCATCCAACCTGGGCTGGTGATGTCTTTCACCCTAGATAATATACATGATTTGATGCTGTTCTCTTGAAAAATCCCACCCTCGCCTTCTCCCACAGAGTTCAAAAGTCTGTTCTATACATCTGTGTCTCTTTTTCTGTTTTGCATATAGGGTTATCGTTACCATCTTTCTAAATTCCATATATATGTGTTAGTATACTGTAATGGTCTTTATCTTTCTGGCTTACTTCACTCTGTAAAATGGGCTCCAGTTTCATCCATCTCATTAGAACTGATTCAAATGAATTCTTTTTAATGGCTGAGTAATATTCCATGGTGTATATGTACCACAGCTTCCTTATCCATTCGTCTGCTGATGGGCATCTAGGTTGCTTCCATGTCTTGGCTATTATAAACAGTGCTGTGATGAACATTGGGGTGCACGTGTCTCTTTCAGATCTGGTTTCCTCAGTGTGTATGCCCAGAAGTGGGATTGCTGGGTCATATGGCAGTTCTATTTCCAGCTTTTTAAGAAATCTCCACACTGTTTTCCATAG